GGAGGGATGCATGATGAATTCCTCCCTTGTTCCCAGCCCAGTCCTAGAATATGCTGCTTTTTCTCAGATAAGTTGCCCCAAACCCCTGGTGAGAATGGTGGTAAATGTCTTATGCTCACCTTTGATCAAGAACAGAGACTACGAGAGACTCAGGTAGGGTCTGCAGCTGCTGAAGGGGGTCGGGACTGAGGCTGAGAGAGGAGGGCAGCTCTAACCCACCTCTACCCAGGCCCAGGCCTCTCAGGTCAGATAGCCCCCACCAGTGTTTCTGCAGATGCAGGTGTTGTGGTCCCGAGGGGATGGGGCTGGCCTGGAGCATGGTGTGGCCGTCCTGGAGCCATGTGTCACCCTTCCATGGTGTGCAACTGTAGTGGGGATGTGGAAGGGATGTGGTGGGGATGCAGTGACCACTCCCCTCTGCCATCAGAGCTCCTGCTCCCCCCACCCCTCCTCAGTGCCTCCCCACCCCCGGAGCTGCCTGTGCTGCAGATCCAGGAAGCACCTGCCTGGGTTCAGGATCATCACTCAGCACTCGCCCCTGCACAGGGGCGATTAACTTGTCTGTTATAAACTCCTACTTAGTAATTCCAACACGAAACTCCCACTAGGCTAAAACTTGGCGCAGAACAGCAATTACTGAAAACACATTTTTCAAAAAGTTGACATTTTTGTAAGAGTTCATCCTCCCCCACTCCCCAGCCTCCCCGAAGAGACATGTATATAGGTCTTCCTGTGTGAGTCTAACTTTGAGACTGTGAGTTGCAGCTTAAAGGGACCCTGGGCCCAGCCCACTGGCCAGGGCCTGGTGTGGTGGGAGGGGCTTGGGTTGCTGCCAGAGCTCCTTCTGAAAGGTGTCCAGCGCCGCTGGGGATGTCGCCTGGGCATCCAAGTGCTTTACTAAGCAGCACAATTGCTGAGTTCCTGTCTCTATGAGTGGCTGGGGTTGGGGAAAGGACCTTTCTCAGTGATATGAGTGGTCCAGGATGATGCCACAGGCTCTTTTTCTGATGACAGGGGTGACAACATGGCTCCAGGAAGGCCACACCATTTCCT